TAATGATGTTTATACACAAATTTCTAGGTAGTTTTTGGTGTGGAATTCTCTACGTTTGTAATATCTAATATTACTAATATTATAGTTCATGGCTTCATGCGGCATGAATTAAATATTAAATCATGCCACCGATATCGGTATTCGGTAGACGGTAATGTTTACTTTTTCATTTTGATAACAACGTTATCTATCTCACACATCTCTATGGACAATAAATATTTATTATTATTATTATTTAACCTGTTAGCACAGATTATATAAAACTGTTTTATAATATAATCTGTGCTGTTAGACATCCCATTGGTCGATAATCGTAAATCGATATTCATAAACACCGGAGTTGATCTTTTACCGATCGTTCCGCACTGTATTCGCAATGTTATAATTATTATAGTTTTACCTTAATTAAAACATAGTAWATCGACTGGYGGAATAATGTGAAAAATTATCGCCTTGTATAACAATAACAATAATTATTAATAATCACAAATACTATCGTTGAGCGATCGTTCTATTTTTTTTTTTTTTTATCGCAGTTTTTGTCACCTGTCGTTAATCCATAGTGACGACATTATACTGTGCATTTTCATATTCGTTTTCGTTCATACGGATCACACTAATAAGTGCATAACGAAACAGGTTGAGGGCCGCGCCTTATACGTTCGTGACGATGAATATGTAATTACGTTCCAATTTTATTGCGATTTACGCGACTAACAGTCTCCATCCGTGTTTGTTCGTACGATCGTTTAAACGACATTAAAACACTATGAATGGAACTCAGGATAATGCTAGATATGGACCCTCTGACCAGTTAAATCTGTCGAGCGGAACAAACAATGTGGATCACTACAACGATTCCGGTATGGTTTTGAAGTTTCATTGTGCATTCATTGAAAATGATCTTGATTTTTTTTTATTATTATAACCTTGTTAATGTCTACAGTTTGTCTCTAACCGGTTTTCATCYATCATCGGTACCAGTGGCGTATATAGAAATAATTTTTGGGATGGGCTATAATAATATAAGTAACTAAAAAATGATCTATCACCTAGAAAGTACTATATATTTAATAGTTACGACTAATTTCATGGGGGGGAGCTACAGCCCACCAGTCACCTCTTATATACGCCACTGATTGGTGCCTATATTGGTATATCTATAATATTTTTGGAACACATCTTGAATTAATAAATAAAAAATAAAAAACTAAATAAGAATTGCGGAAAAAAATYCCCCCGACGAACGACCCCAGAAAAAAAATCCCCAGAGTGCAATATTACTCACAACGTCTTGAAAATGGTTGAACATATATGTTTATCGTTAATTATTATCTATAATTAGCACATTATTAATATTTAAATTAGTTTTAAGTACATTCGGACATCTTAAAGAACTTAATTTAGAACACCGCCAACGTATAAAATTTGAGCACTCTTTTTGAAAATGATAAATAAATCCGATGTGCGCAGGCTTAGGTTTTTTACCATTAGTTTTAAAAATTTTCACCGTTTCCATAACGTTGTCATTCTGTACTTGTGTAGTGTGTGTTGTGTCCTAAATGTKTATTGAGACCTATAATATGTGGTGCACTGAAAAACGTTGCTAATTTTTATTGTACAATACAATGTTTGAACATAACCAACACTCATTTATTTTAAGATAGAGARTATCAAAATTATGTTTGTGAGCCCATTACAGATAAGATAGGTAGTTGTAACCTTTTACCTTATAATATATATTATCGAAGGTAACCGGTAGGTACCAAACTATACTGCACACAACAATCATATTAAATAACATTTGAAAATTTTATTTCGGGRATTTAATTTTTACAGACTTATATTTAAAAATATAATTTTTTAATAAAAACTTTGTTTTTCTAACAACTATATTAATTTATTGAATGATATAATATAATATAATATACGTATTTGTAATTCAATATTAATAATGTGGTAATTATAGATATAATATATTAATGTTTARAAAATATTTRTGAATGAGGTTGTGAGTAATATTGTAGTCTGGGGATTTTTTTTCCTAGGGTCGGGGATAGGGTCTAGGGCCGGGGTCTTTCATTGAGGGATTTTTTTTTCCGATTACCTGCAATAAATGTGCTTATTTGTAAATGTCTAGACGTCTTATGACGGATAGTGATATACTGATATTGGTACATCAGTACAAATTATAAAAATAATGAATTTGATAAATGAAAAATGGAAAATTAGATCAAACATTATATCTTGATATGTGTATTAACTTTATATACAGTATCTAATACAGGTAGGAATCTCACAAATATAGTTCTACAGCTCGAAAATAAAAATAATCATCAACAAACTTGTTCATAATATTATCTTGCTTATTACAATTGAGTTGCTATTAAAACATAGTATGTTTTTAGTATCTTTCTAAAAATGTTATATCGCTCAGGGTGTCTCTCCAAAAAAAGTTTAATCATGTGTAACATGCAAGGAATAAACTGCAGTTTAGTACTCATGATCATTAAATTTTTTTTCAAAATAAAAGTATTTTCAATAAAATGACCAATACCATTTAATTTATTCATATGAATAATAACATCCCTCCTCCTCTACAGTCAATAAGTATGTATTAAACACTAAAATTTGATTGTTCCATCATACTCAGTGTAAAAACACAACTAGAAGAAAATCAACATTGATTAGTTTTTTATAAGATGAGGTAACCACAATTTAAAAAAAAAAAAAACAGTTTTCCCATTTTTTCTTCAATATAACTTTCAATACCTATAAAAAAAGAGCGATCATTTTTCAATCACTTTCAGATATACTTAAAATTTATAACAGATTTTTGAGAAATAAGTTGCAAAATATGCTTAGTATAACTTAATTTATGCCAAAATTAGTTAACACTAAAAATAAAATAACATACCTATAAAAAATAAATAAATATTGGCTCAAACAATTATTTTTTTTATACCCATGCTGTTTAATATTTGTATTTTCAAAGACATTTGTTTATAAGTGTTAATATTTCAAGTCTCTAGAAAGACCAGTTTTAATTTTTTTTTTTTTACTGAAGTTACCACTAAATAATTAAAATAAATTTCATAATTTAGCAAAATTACCGTTTTTAGTCTAATATTAACATTAAAACTAAATTGTTTAAAACAATAGCCCTAAAAATTACATGGTAGGTACAATATTTGATAGTTATTCCTAAATTTGTACAAAACTATTGAGAATTTTGAGAAATAATCTCCTTTAGTAGCAATTTAAGATAATTTTTAACCTTAAAAGAAAGTGCCAAAAATGTGGATACAGAATAAATAAATACCATTGTTAAACCAATAAATCTATTTACTCAAGATATAAAATCTAAAATAATAGTTTAATGTAAAAATATAATTTGATGTGAATTTAATTTAGACATGTAAAATAGATATATTATTTATATTAGATCCTAAGCAAAGCTGATGAATGTATAGATTTTATTAAGATATCTATGTGCTTTTTATTATTGTTTTTGTCTGTRTACAAGATAAGTAGTTGAAATAATGCTTTGATTTTCAACTTCAATGTCTTTTCTGATGGGAAAATGATTCTAGTTAGGGCATCCAAGAGGTTAAAATTTCCAGTAGTTTTCAAAAGCATTGAAAAAAAAAAAATTAAGGAAAACCTCGACAAATATTGATTTTTGTGTTAAGTTTCTGTAAGTGGGAATATTGACATGTAAGTGTAGATATTTTAGATTTACACAAAAAATTTTCATCATTTGATCACAATACATTTTCATCATGTTTAARTTTTTTACAGACTTTTAGTTTTTTTTTATCTATAAATGTCAATTTTATTCATTAGRTAAAAAAGTTTGAAAACTTAATACATGGCTCCTAACATATTGTTACAATAGTAGCTGAAAAATATCACAAATAGATAGCCACAAATTTTTTTATAAGCATTTAATGTTCACATTTTGATAACATTAATCAAATTGAAAATTTATAAATTATTTTTTAGTTAAAAATGTATAATATGTTTAATTTTTATAGCTAAGAACTGAACATTTAAAATAAAATTCTATGTAAGTAGTTCATTCTGTAACAATACATTTTGTTGTATTTAGAAATATTATTTGTGGGTACTTAACATTTTTAGAATAAGTAGGTATATGATTATACTTCATACACACAATTACATTTTCAAATGCAATTTTTTCCACAAAAATAAATTTAACTGTGGTACTTATCCTCAGTAATAACATAAATTACTTTAATAACAATAATATCAGAAAACAAATCTACTTAGTCATACTATAGGCAGACAGACAGCTCAGTATTAGCTCAGAATGGTTTTTTTGTATACAATGATTTTATAATATTAGATTTAAATTTAACACATTCATTACAATGACTCTCTAGACACCGTATACACGGCGGCAAAACATTACCTTCTTACCCAATTTTTATTTTTATTTTTGGAGGTCTTCAGTCTTAAATAAATTATTTGAGGAGAGCTCCCCTAAGCCCTTATCAGCTTACACTGAGTACTAGCCTCCACATAATAGTATGTGTACTTGGTAATGTCACAATAGCATGAAATTTTCATCAATGCATTTTGTAAGTAAAGAATYAGCCTAAATAAAAATCTAAAAATTTAAATTTACAGACCAAAACACATATTTAAGTTTTTAGATATTTATTACTAATATATATTTGTCCAAATCACTATTTATTTCATGTTTAATGATTTTGCTTGCTATCTTCCAAAATATAGATACTTATCATCTAGTAATATCTGTTAAATCTAATTTATCATTTTGCAATTTATATGTTCCCTTAAAAATAATTATTGAGTTTATTTTACAAGAAAAATATAATAAAAGATATATCTTAAACATCTTTATTTCAATTTTTATTGGCTGAAGTTAATGGGTTTGTTAAAACTTGTGTGTAAATTGTGATTTGAGACTCCTGACTTATTACAATGTTTGTCATTATCTAGATTTGTTATTGGACAATGAAGAAGAATACATTCATCCTTATTCAGATGAATACGTACTTCTGGAGAGGAAGATGCGTAACCGATTAACTTTTTTCTTTATGAATCCAATTGAAAAATGGAAAACAAGAAGGAGGTTTCCATATAAATTTTTAACCCAAATTATCAAAATAATATTGGTTACACTTCAAGTAATGAATGAGATAATAAATATTTTATTATTTCTGTTATTATTTAATTTATATAATTTTTTTTTTTTAAGCTTTCGTTATTTGCTCATACTCGTTACAGTCATGTAAATTATACGTKGGGAAATAGGATTACATTTTCACATTTGTTTATTAAAGGATGGGACCCAGCACGAGAAATAGTCTCTTATCCACCTGCACTGGGACCATTAGCTATTTATAATATTGAATCATTTTATTCAACAATTAACTATGCTGTGGTTGGTGTAAGTATAGAATTTACTTATTGTAATTATTGTTTGTAAAATATTCTTACTTATCTACTTTTTCTGAAACAACAACTARTAAATAATTTTGTGTATCACAAGAAAAATGCTATATTTTTTTGCTGGCATTATGTAGAATTTTTTTTTGTTTTTACCAAAAATGTAAGTAGGTATGTAAGTATTTAATCATTAATATAAATATAAACAATGTTAAAAAATATTTCGTTAAAATTGTGGGGTATCCAAAATTCAATAAATTTATGAAAACCAGCATTTCATTATTATATAGACATAATCAGCAATAGCAAATTAACCATCATAATTCATAATATTTGAAGATATTATTTAACCTCTCGATTTTATGACAGTTTTACAAGATTTTTTTAAAATTATTTTGTAATTTTAGTTGACTGTCATAATATGTTATTATAATTTTAATAAAAATTAAATTAACTCTTGCTCATATTTAATATTATTAAAATGTCTATTATTACAGTAGAGTTTTGCTAATCTGGAAATCTATTTTTCGTACTTTAGTACTCGTGTATAATGTATATACTCGAGAATACCCATGATTAAGATACATATTATCGACTTATCGTTTCGATTACATATTAAAAAACTGTTTCGTTTAGTGGTGATTGTGTACTCATGTATCATAATAATAACAATAGTAATGTGTAATGTAAAATTGTAATTCAATAAAATATTTTGAATTCGTATAAATATATAAGGTGTTTTTTGTTGATATTTATTAATAACTTAAAAAGAACATAATTTCGTTTAATCCGGATTAGCGAGAACTCTACTGTACATCTTATTTTAAATTATTGATGATAATTTAAAAGATATGATTTTTATTAATGAACTATATGGACATATGGTAATACTATTATTTTTTGAACTACAGATTGTAGATGTAGAATACTTTTTGTTGTCATATGTATGTTTTATTTATTTTTTTAATATATTATATTTTATAGTAATTGAATGATTTTTTTTAAATTTATACTATTTTATGAATATAGTACTGTTTTTGTGGTTATTTTAATGAAGTACTGAAAGTTGTATTTTATCGTTTTAATTTTAAATTATTATATATTTTTATAGTATGCCAACATCAGTAACGCAATTGGATCATACTCATATCTAAGTGAAGATAGTAAAGTTGTAGATCCAATATTTTGTATTGTTCATTATAAAGAAGGTAGCGTGTTTGGTTTCAACGAAAGTTATACCTTTGATGGAGAAATAATACAAGGTAACTGGAATATGTGCTACTAAAATCCTAAGTTACAGTTATTGTGTAGTTAAATTTATTTAATTTAAAATTTTTAGAATGCCTSAATGTTACTATAACTGATGATATAAAAACTAAGGGATTTTCAATCAAGGATTATCTAATTGAACAAAATAAAACAATCTATTTTTCATCTTTATTAAAAGCGAAATTAAAATTTGCATTAAAAACTGTTAACTTCAGAGTTGCCGGAAAGTATTCGCCTCCCGATTGTTACAAATTTGAAATTCAAGTAAATATGATTTTCTGTTAATTTTTAAGAATTTTGTAATGAAACATTAATTGATGACTAGGTAAGTTTGTGTGTTGAATTCTCCAGAAATATGCACAACCTTTTAAAATTTAAAATATAATCTAATTTAAAAATAAAAGCATGACATTTTGAGTAATTTTTATTTAATCATTGATAAAAGTAAATATTTTATAACTGATATTATAAAAATATATTTTTCTTCAATAATGCATTTATCTTAGATTTATTTTATTGTATTATTATTTTAGATAAACAATCTATATCAGTATACATTTAATGGATTTTATTACAGATAACATTAAACAATGAAGATATGGATGGTCAAGTATTGGTAGATTTGCAAGTAAATCCTTTTAGGTTGAATTGTAAAGGTAGCGTGGAATATATCAGTAAGTTAAACAAATAGTTTTTGCAATATGTCAGATAGATATTATTAATATTATTTTTCTTATGTTGAAGTTGATAATAAAGTCGAATCGTTTTTAAGAAGTGTATTAAATTATCTTGTTATCATTGTGTGTACTATTTCAATGATACTATGTACAAGGGCTATATTGAGAGCACAGCTACTGAAGTATGTAAGTATTATAATTTTGTCCAATATCAATGTAATTTGTTACCTAATAAAATTTATTTTCAACTTCAGGAAACAATAAGATATTTTGAAGACATGCTAAAGTCAACATTGAGTTATAAAGCACGGTGGGAGTTTTGGAATTTATGGTATATAATGATAATCATCAATGACATACTAATTATATGTGGTTCAGGAATAAAGGAGCGTATAGAGAAAAAGGTGATATAAAATGATATATTATAATATTGTGTATACCAATCCCTAGACTTTTTTCTCTTTTCTGTATATAAAAATTTGAAAATGTTTCAATAAAACATATATTTATAAGTATCCTCCCCCACACATTGAAAATTATCTTGTGCACCACATTATAATCATATTAAATATTAATATTGTATAGCGAATAAGTATAAGTAAATAACTTTATGTTTTTAGCAATTTATTGGTGACCAATGGAATTTATGTAGTGTATTACTTGGAACTGGAAATTTGCTTGTCTGGTTTGGAGTTCTAAGATATCTAACATTCTTTAAAACTTACAATGTAAGTTTAAATAATGTTTTATTTATCATAATTCATAGTAAATTATACTGTAGGGATAATTAAATGTTTATTTTTAKGGTGTAATATTAACATTGCGGCAAGCTTTTCCAAATACTTCAAGGTTCATTTTATGTGCGATTCTATTGTATGCTGGCTTCACATTTTGTGGTTGGTTGGTATTAGGACCATATCATATGAAAGTAAGGGTTTATCTTAAAATCTTAGATAAAACATTAAAAATTATTTTCTAAAATTTCCATAACATGCTAATTGTAATTTTATCCATTCTTCATTCCTTTCTTTATTATTATAAATTATTATAGCTAYATATAAAATTATTTGTAGATATTAAACTTTTAAAATTATACTACTATATTAAGTACATATTATACATATTGTAATTTAAAAATATTTTTCTGAGAATATCTAAAATGTTTATTTAATTAATAAATATGTTCTAACAACTAGTTGTGTTTGAAAAAATGCCTCTTCTTAAATTTCTAATATTTTTTTTTTAAATATTTATTTAAAGTTAATAATTACTAAATATTAGTATACTCTATAAAACACAATAATGAGTTCATTTATTTTGTATTAGTAATAACATGTTTTATAGTATATGATCATAGGCGTTTTCATATTTTTCATATTTCATGTTTTTAAGTTTTCACTTTTAAACAATTATTAATTATTAATTTCATTATAGTGAAATAATTAATTAATAACCCAGTATTTAGCTTAAGTGATATAGTAAAGATTCATATAATTTTTTAATAAATGTATTTGTGTTTTTAGTTCCGGTCGCTGGCAAGTACATCTGAATGCTTATTCTCTTTAATAAATGGAGATGATATGTATGCCACATTTACAATCATGGCTACAAAATCTTCATTATTATGGTGGTTTAGTCGTTTGTACTTATATTGCTTTATAAGTCTATTTATTTATGTGGTTATCAATCTCTTTCTATCGGTTATCATTGACTCTTATGAAACAATTAAGGTAAATTCAATTTAATTTTAAAAAAAAATTCCATTATAAAATGTAATTTAAAATTGTATGATTTTTTGGATTGTGTTAGTAAATATTAAGTGTTTCCCCAAATATAACAGTTCAATTTATTTGGATTAATTTAGATTTGTTTTTTAACTTTGCAAACCACTAGTGCAGAGGTAACTAAATGGTGGCTCCAAACCACATATGGCTGTGGAATAACTTTTATGTGTCAAAAGGATAATAAATTAATTTTTTAAATCCTTATTTCTTATTGTATCTGCATTAATGATATTTTCATTCTATTTTTCTTATTACTTCATTTTATTTTTTGATCTTATCTTTGCCTACTTTCTTTGGTTAAATATGATTATTTAATTTTGATGCCCCCAAAACACCAAATTATTAATTTGTGACTCCTTATAAATGGTATRTGTGTTTGAAGTTAAAATTAGATTTATTAATAACATTAAACATTATATGCTTTCTGGTGTTTTGTGAACATTTTTAAATTAAAATTTAATTGTGATTTGTAAACAATAATGTATATTATTATACTTTTGATTGATTATTTTATGATTTATTCAAAATTTGTTTTTTAGAATCAACCACGTAATTATAAACCTAAGACTGACCTGGAACAGTTTATGGCTGAAGGTACATTTCCTACATCATCATTTGATATTACTGAAGAGACTGATAATTGGGCTCAAGTATCTTTTGCTCAAGCAGTTAGGAGAATATTTTGTAGTTTTTGTATGTAAGTTCAAGTTTAATATAATTATATCTGAATTAATGGATAAACCTAACCTAACCTAACGAATTAAGATAATCAAATTTAATATAATAAACAATAATTGACATATTATGAGTGGCGTTATTCCAATTAGACAATGAGAATAATGATTTACATAGTTCATGGTGAAATATTTTTTATTTAACAAGTTTTATTTTCAGCAATTTCAAAAATTTACGCCAAACATGTTTGTTTATTTATCAAAGAAGCCGACATTTAATTATTTGATTTGAAGATGGCTATCTATCTATTTTTAATTTTATATTTTCGTTACCAATATTTATTATTATTTAAACTATATTATTCACATTTTATGAATGTTTATTATACTATATTTATATTATAGACTGATTATCACTGTGTATCCTATCCTAACGGCACTTCACTAATTGAACTATAATTATTTAATTAATTTAGTTACATAAGAGTGATCTGGTAGGAATATAAGAGAAACTACTATTATAGGCACATTATTTTTATACTTAATTCCACTCAATGAATTGTTAAAAATGTTTATTATTAAACAAGTTATTGTTATTGTTTTGTTTGGTAAATAATGTGAGAGGACAGACATAATAATAATTATTGCTTTCATGAGGCGTTCCTAAAAGTCAATTATTGTTAACCTAAATTTTATTATGCATACCGTTTAACATACATTTAATATGAACTAAGTTATAATGTTTAATTACTGTTTGGAATTGCATTTCACATWTTTTTTTAAGTAATAAATTATATCATGTTGTATTTTATCTATGATTAAATAAACATGAATTGTTGTAACTTCATATTTTGTTTGTTACAATCTTGGGATTTTAATTACSATATGTCAATGCTAGATTAAATAATGTGTTTATGTAAAATATATTATACAATCTAACTTATATCAAGATAATTTTATTTTTGTATTCAATTTATTGTTTTTTTAATAGTTTAATTGTGGTTATACATTTTCACTAATGTAAGTATTTTCAAGTATAATAGGATTTTAAAAATTGTTGGCCATTTTTGAGTTATATACAGGGTGATTCTTTTATCAAACAACACTTATATGGTGTCTGTGTGTAAATACCACCTAACATACACCTATAACACACAAACACTACCCAAAACCACCCAACTTTGGGAGGCTATATCTTGTAAACGGATTAACGAAAA